ACCACTGATGACCAGAGTGTTTTAGTACATAAAAAAAAATAAAACAAATGAAGCTCATATGGATGTGAGTAAAAAAATAAAACAAATGAAGCTCATGTGGATGTGAGTAGAATCATGTCAAGTGACAAAACTTGACTTGCATGTTTGTGTCCAGCTGTGGTTGTGGCTTTATCTGGGAACAGACAGGTTAGTAGTTATGGGTGCCAACCCTCCATCAGACCGTGGGGGGTCCTCACTGGGCTGCTGGTCTGTCTCAGCAGGTCCAGGACAACAGCATCTGACATAACGTCACCAGCACAGAGGGGCTGTGTTGTTTTGGACTTTCACTATTCACACCCAGAAATATTCCATGACTCCCTGTAGGTGGATTAAAGGCAGAGTCCAGTGTGGGATTAAAGGATCAGAGTGTTGCTGTGTCCTGTTCACTGCAGGTGGTTTCACCCTCTGCACCCCGAAGCTGGAAGCTGCACGTTTTTAATTTTACCACTTGTTAAAAGATAATAGTATATTTTAATTGTTAATTTTAGATTTATATGAAATCAAATGAATGGAAGATATGTTTTTTTATAGAGATGGACTTCCTGTTTATTTGTTTGGTTCATTTCAATGTGTATCTGTTACGTTTCCACAGGGAGAAGCGACGATCCAGTACAACAAGCTGCAGGCAGACCCCAAGCAGGGCAAGTCTCTGGACATAGGTACCTACTCCACTAGACACACACACACACACACACACACACACACACACCTTCAGTCTGGAGCCACGGTTGGTTTTCTTGTTCTTTTTTTGTACTTTCTGAGTGATTTATTATAAAGTTCTGCTTATTACAACAACTTTTCTTGTGTGTGTTAAACATGTATCTTGTGTTTCAGTGCTGAAAAAGGTCAAACACCGGCTGGTGGAGAACATGAGCTCAGGCACAGCTGATGCTCTCGGGCTCAGCAGAGCTATTCTGTGCAACGGTGGGATGATCAATATTGTGATCACTGTGCGTTTATCAGTTTATTCATATAACTAGATATGAAGCAGTGATAATGTACATTTATTTTAATTTCCAGATGGACTGGTCAAAAGACTGGAAGAGCTGGAGAAAACAGCCGAGCTTTACAAAGGTGACAAAGCATTTCCTTCAGTAAACTGAAGTCTTGTTGTTTAGTGTGATAACAACAATAACTGTGCACTAGTACTAATCACAGAGATGAGGTAATGGTTCATCTTTTTTTTTTTAGTTTTTTATTATTATTATTGAAGCAAAGTAACACATTAACAAAACAGGACTGAACATGGGAGACAAGAGAACAGATACATGACATTACAAAAAGATGTAGTGTTTTACAACATTGTAGTGTGTGAGGGTGTGAAGTGTGGGTATTTCCAACTTATTCAGTTTATGAAACACAAGAGAAGGAGGGAAAATAAATGAATAAAAAATTACCAATAATAATGAT